GGGGGGAGGGGGTTGCGGTGTCGTGGGACCGCCAACATATAAATGGCGTGTTTGCAGGGAAACAGTGAACGTGACGCCAATTTATATACAGCTAAAGTGCCATCCTCATTTATCTATCCCCTGCTCTATCGCAGTGGTGGGAGAGTAACTGGGGATGGTGGTGGGGGAGGCTCGCGCTGGGAACAGCAGAAGCACATCAGCGGGCGGAGACCGGGCTGCGACTACCCTCCTCCAACGCGGAGAGACTCGCGCCGGCCACACGCAGCGAGGAGTGGAATAATATAATAGCATGGCAGAGAGGACGCTGTGCCCACCCACGCGCGAAAACTCTCCATGTGGCAAAAAAAGCTTAACTTTAAAAGAATTTAAAAAATATTTTGAAAACACAAAATGGCAGATTTCGGCAACATACCGCGGTAAAACGGGGGAATAGCAATGGTAGAAAACAGAACTAAATGTGACTAAAGATATATGTATGATTCTCGTAGATAAGTCCTTGAGGTTGAGGGGTAACAGCCAAGGGGTGGGTAACTCCGAAACTGGGCGTACATATTTCATAAATTGAATTTGAATTAACTGAATTTGAATTAGATGAATTGAATTTGAATTGGACCAAATTAGTTGAATTGGTTTGTATTATTGTGAGTTTATGTTACTGAATTAGCACGAATTAATTGACTTGAAATGACTTGAATTGGCTTGAATTGAATTAGAATTGCCTTAAATTGGACTGAATTGATTGAATTATTTCTGGATTGTGTTGAATTAAATTGAATATTGGTTAGAATTAGGGGCGTACACTTAGCAGGGGAGTTATCCACCCCTCGGTAACAGCACTTATTCCCTTTAGGGAAGTCGTGGCTTTGCGATGTGCTCACTGGGCTGCTTGAGGGTCACTTACCTCCGCGGACCTCGCACTTGAGGATGAGGTCCTGGCCGTGCTGCAACGGGCCGACCACGCCGTCAGTCACGTCGCGGCCAGACGCATCGAACACGATGAGCGTCGTGGGCGGCACTGGAACAGATATAGAGAGGGAGAGGTTGAGAAATGAAGTACATAATGTCAAAACAGAAAGCACACACTGATTCCTCTGCCATCAAGGGCAGTAGGGGATTAAGGGAAGAACGTCCTTGGGGAAACGCCAAGGCATAATATTATCCACCCCAAGCTTTGAAATTAAAATCACACTGGCAGCAGCGCCTGGGGGTAGAAGAGTTAGTGCGCAGGCAGCTCAGCGACGAGCAAGTTTTGATACCGCAACGGTGTGTCTGACCTTCCCTCATTCTCTCATCCCAAGGACACGTGCCTGCCTTGAGAACACCTGTCGGCCAAACACGCCCTGCCCTCTGGTCCATAGGTCGGGCGGTACCATACCCAGCCGACAGGGAGGCTGGGCGGACCGCGGACCAAGGATAATCCACTTTTCGTTAGGTGGCCCGAGGGAGGGTGCTAACGAGGCAGACCGCTCGGAGCCGTGAGTCCGACAGTCCGGCACAGCCAGGCATAGTCTCGTGAGCCGTGCGGCCGGCAAGACGCCTGATAGTGCCGTAGCGTAGCCCGTGGAGCTGGAGCCGTCCATCGTTGAGTGCGAGAGATGCCAGCGTGGGCAGTTGCGGCGCCGAGAGCTCTGGAGCAAGATAAAGAAAGCAGCAGTCGCTCTCTAAGGTCGTAGACAAAAGCGGTCGCATCGTACGGCTAGCCGTCCGATATGACTTCTCCTTAACAGCTGTTTCCTATGTAAAAGCAGGAAGGAAAAACGAAAACTTTATCACGTAATGGAGTGAGGGCCAATTAGCAGAACCACAGTTCGCGCGTCTCGCAGGCTTCTATTACACAAGACGACTAGAGGGCAATTACAAAATATGGCGGGAAAATCTGTCGCAAGCTCTTTAAAGTGAAATTTTGTAGCAATAAAACGGCTATATTTTACAGAACGAGACTCTTTTGCTTCTATGTAGAGTTGGCCACAAGGTGCCTAATAGACCAAACCATATTATGTGGCATTATAGCCACTAGATATTAAAAATCAAAATCTAGAAAGCACTGTATTAACTGTTGAGAAGTTGTAAGCGAGTAAGCGCGAGGTCCACACATCTCTGCGAGTCGCTATTACGTGAAAGGTGGACCAGCACCAGCCCAGGCTGTCACTTCCGAAGGCCTATCGCCCCTTTACTCGGCGGCGCGCACGCCAGCGGGGCACGCCAGCGGGGCACGCCAGCTCGCCCAGTTTTAACTACACGTCACGGCCACAACACAACTTCCCTTGTTCCTCTTACCCCTTCTATCATTTAACTTTCTCCCTGCCGGCTAAACCGCCAGGCGTCAATCCAAGAGGCATCAGGGCCCCGTCGGAGGGGCCGGCGCACCCCGGGCTCTCGGGCGAACAGGCGAGGAGAGGCGAAGCGGGCCTTCTTGGGCCCCGACCTGGCCTGGAAACCAAGCAGCCCGCCCCCACCCACCCACAAGAGCCGCCCGCGTCCGCCCGCCCGCCCGGCGGGACCCGGCCGCTAGCGCCGCACTGCCTGGTTTTCGCTTTGTTCCGTTGCCTAAACCGCACCGCAGGCCGACAGACACCGCAGCGACTCGAGCCCCCCGCCCTGCCCGACCAGCCACAAGCAGCCAACCCCTGCCGCTTTCCCACACGCCTGCATTGTATCACGTATCACACAGCTGTTCCTGGATTGCGGGTTCGAGTCCACGCTGCCCCACCACACAACTGGAATGCGATGCTCTTTCTTTCCCTTTTCGCCGCCCATCTCCCCGTTCCCCACTTCCCCCTTGCTCCACTTTCGATGCTCGTAACGCAATTAATGCTACGCCGCTGCCCAAGCTGCTCCACTGGGGAAGGCGCTGCCGACTTGGCCCCGCCCGCTCCTCCGGTGTGAGACCCGCTCCGGACCCGCTGGGCTCCGGGCCCGGAAGGAAGCGGGGACCGCGAATACTAAGTAGCCAGGCAGGCACAGCCATAGAAAGGAGCCGTGGCAAGGCAAAGGAAGCCCCCGCCCCTCCTTCCCTTTGCTGTAGTGCCTCGGTGGGCCTG